GAGTTGAGATGTTGAAATCACCAAATCTGCCCAACATTATGGCAATTACTCACTGTGTAGCAAAAACAATCCTTTAAGAGAGATTAAAAACTCTTAACATGAAATGTAATGGAGCAGTTCTAATAAAAGTAAAAAAAATTGCTGCTCTTTATAACAAATTATGAAAAAGAAACAGATTAGAAATATTATTTTGAAGCAATCTCTAATTTATAACTTTGCCAAATACATATAGTCTAAAAAACCTTTTAGATAAAGAGGAAAACTGTTGTATGGAGGGCTAAACATGCCTTTATCAAGATATGGATAATCGCCATTCACATCATAATATGTAGATCTAACCAAATCATAACTAGATTAGCTTGCAAAGCTAACATCTTGTTTTCCACATATGAAAATTGTAATCTTTTGATTAAAACACATAGTGTCCTGGTCCTGGATGACTCTAGAACAAGAAAAAATTACGGACAACAGGGACAACACAGTTAAATGTTTTATTGAACAGAAAAAAAGTTTTCAATTATATTTTCTGCACGGACATCAAATCGGCACCGGATCATCACTGTAAGACAGGGAGATGATTAATGGATGTGATAAGATAACTGCATAGGAGGGAGACTGGATCTTACTTTATGGAGCAGAGGAGGCGATCAGGTGGGATGCAGAGCATCCACAGATCCGGTGGTTGGCTGCTGGACTGGGTGAATAGTGACCGGTTTGCTTTCTAGGTTGCTTGACTGGAGGAGATGGATGGTTGGTGGGTGGACAGGCAGGAGAGGAGCCACAGGTGCTCTGAACGAGAGACAGATGCTGAGGGAGGAAATCCACAGGACCGGAGAATCAGCATGGAAGCTGAGCGCTCAGGACCTGTGAGGAAGGATGAGATCGAAGGGAAGCGAGACCATAAAGTGTCTGTGATAGCACAGCAACCGCAGTAGAACCAGGAGTAGTAAACCATCTGGTGTCTGTCTCTGGGAATCCAGTCCTCTAAGCTCCTTGATGAGTGAAATGCATGTCACCTGGAAGCAGCACCTGCCCATCACACCCTGCAGAGGAGGAAGAGGAGAGCAGACATCCTACCAACACCAAACTGTCTGTGGATATGACACGTATACTTTTACCCAGTTTTATCTGCTATGATGAGCATAAGAGAAATAAAAAGATAAGAGAATAAAGATGTAAGAGAATATAGTCAATATTACAAGAATAAAATGAAAATAAAGTAATAAAACTATGAGAATAGTTAAAACAATACGAGAATAGTCATATGAAAATAAAGTGATATTATGAATGATGATAATAGTTGTACTATTTTGAATATAAGAATAATGAGAAAATTCATACGACTTTATTCTTGTATTATTTGAACTTTGAGTTCTCATTATTCTTAGATTCTATTCTCATAATTTTGACTTCATTTTATTTTTATTTAATTTTCTAATACTCTGTAATCGGAAACATTTAAAGAACTATGTAAGTTTTTTTATTATATTCTGTATTTTAGGACTCTTTTGTAGCTCCATAGAAACTATTAAAAAAAAACACACATTTGAACCTTCAGCTCATACCAGCACATTTTCTCCACTCATGCATAATGATGCCTATAAAGTGTTTAAAGATTTAAGTGTTTAGCTCATGATCTCTGCAAATCCAGCAGATTTGTGACGACATGGTGGGATGAGAGAGAAACGGAGGGAAGAGGATGACAGCATTTAAAACTTTAAGCACCAGATCATCTCTGAGAGAGGAAATGATTTCAGACCAGGATGTTTCTGTTGGTCTGGTTTACTGGATGTTTGTAGGAGTGCGTCCGCTCTGAGCGATCAGCATGTTGAACCACCTCAGGGCTCGGAGCAGGAGTCTGTTCTGCAGCTACAAGCCCGGCGGACAGATCCACCAGGTCCAGGAACCGATCGATCACCTGGACCTGATCAGCTCCTTCATCAAGCCATGGAACTCCATGCAGGTCAGATCACTTCATTTAGGATTTAACTGCTGATTTGGTTTTTCTCTTTTCTAAAGCAGGAAAAGCAAAACCTCACATTGGATGTCAAAATTCTTCAAAAGTTTGTTAAAATTTCAGGTTTTTGTTTCTCAATTAGACTGAAAACAAATAATTTTGCAGATTTTTTGGTTAGATTGTTGTGATGATTAGTTTTGTTCTTTAAACTTTAATTTTAAGCTTTTAATTGCAGAAAAGCATTATGCTTTTCAAAATGTTAACTTTTTGCTCAGAATTTCTTAGTTTAAAAAGTCTGATTTTTTTCTTCAGTTTCCCTGATTCTCTCCCGTAAATTTGATTTATTTAAATGTTTTTCTTTTTTCTCATGTTTTGGGGACTCATAACATTGGTATTCTTGAGAGATATTTTACAGTCAAACGAGATAAAGATCGACCTGCAGCTGTTTTATTTGTGGTGGAGTTTCTCTTCCTTCCTCAGTATGACACTGCCACCACCATGCCGGAGAGCTAAGGCAGTGCTGTTATGTTTGAAAGAACTACCTCAACCCGTTCATCCTTTATTCTCATTTGACCACAAAACCCAGAACATATTTGGCTTCCTAGCAGCAATGACCTAGTATCAATAAGTGAAGGTAGAGCTTATTAATCGTGATCAACAGACAAATGAAATAATCGTCATTGTTAACTGGAGAATACAGACTCAAAAAGGGCAGACTCGTCCTTTGCTACAGAGAATGTGCCGATTTTTATCCAATTAACCCCTAGAATAAACGATTACTCGTCAGACTAATCGTTTATTCATCAGGCTAATTGATTAATCACCAGACAAATCAATTAATTGACAGAATAATCTGATACCATTCAGTCCTTTACTTGCTGGTACTTAAGTGCTTGTCTAACCTGTGTTCTTTCCTCCAGCTCATTGGGTTTATTCATGATTCTGTAAGGATGAACTGCAGTTTTGTTTCATTCTTGTCGAATGTTTCCTCTTATGCAGGACCTGAGCAGAGACATCTACGACCTTTATGCCGAGTACGAGCGCGAAGAGGTGGAGGACCGGCTGCCGGTGTCGCCGTCTCGCGTCCTGATGTCTCCAACCAAACACCTGACCCTCAACATCAACGTTGGAGGAACGGTACTAGAAAATCCTGCAGGAACGCTGCTCACCTGGTTTCTACTTAAAAAACTGAACAAACTATTAATGATGTCAATTTTATTGGAATAACAATAATAGCAAAATGTGTTGTTTTTATGTCAAGGCTTACTACTATAATTATTGATATATCAACAGTAATAACTTTATTATAGTTATTGTTGTAAAAATAATACAAAAAAGCAAAAACAGTCAAAGTAAGACAAAAAATTAAATAAGAAAGATAAAGTAAGAAATAAAACATTATTGCAAACTAGATTGAAAGATTAACATATTTAAAATCAAAGTAATAAAATATTGTATTGCATCACTTTTTATTATTGTTACATACATTCATTCTATTTATATGGTAACTGATAAAATTGCATTCTGACCAGTTTTTTTTTTTCTTTGATTTATCTTTTTAAATCTACTTTCTTAAAGATTTTATTGGCTCTAGTGGCCTTTATTTGATAGTTAATTGACAGAAAGGTGGGTAATGAGAGAAGGGGGAAGACATGTAGCAAAGGTCACCAAGGCCGGAAATCGAGCCTGCGACAGCGACTAGGGCCTCCATATGTGGGTTGTGCTTAACCCCTGCACCACCACAGCACACCCCAAATTTATTTTCACTTTTAATGTTAATGTCTAACTTTTATTTTCTCAATTCTTTGCATAATCAATATTTTATTTTTTTGCACTTTTGTTATCCCGTACTTGCCAATTGAATTACAGACTTCTACCAGTGGAAATTGCAGTTGTGTGGTTCAAAATACTTTGATTTAGTGTTTGTGACTCAGAAAAGCTCGGTTGCTCCAACGTTTTCATGAACTTTTTAAACTTTTTCTCCCAGATTTACCTCCTGCCGTACAGATTAGCCGCTCGCTACCCAAAGACCCGGATCGGCCGTTTGGCCACGTACACGGACCACAGCAAGAAGCTGGACCTCTGTGACGATTACATCGTCCAGAGCAACGAGTTCTTCTTTGATCGAGACCCAAAAGTTTTCCACAACATCTTCAACTTCTACAGGTCAGATGAAAGACAAAGCGCTTGTTATAGATCTATGCATGTTATAGGTTAGCACTACTTCAACATGTTATTACACTAGTAAAAGCAAAAAGTATCCAACTAAAAAAATCACTCAAGTAAGAGTAAAAACTTATTTGGTAAAAAGTCGAATTATCATTCATTCATTATTTTAAAATTACATCATCAGATGGACCAAAGTATAGGGTTTAGTGAAATTTTAGGTATTTTAAGGATCAAAATGGAAATAATTTATATAAGTTTAAAAAAAAATCAGGCAAAATAATATTTTTCCAAATCAGTTTCTTAAAACTTAAGAAACTTTAACACAAACTGCAGGTGTGTGTCTGTTTCTGGTGAATTTTTGGTTAAAACATGTTTGTTTTTCATTCAGTGGGTAAAAAATCCAGAAATTTTATTCCAGTAAGAGCAGAGATACTTCATGATAACATTACTCAAAGTAGTAAAAATACTCCTAATGTACATTTTTTCAAAAGTTACTCATGCAAACATAATTGAGTAACTAGTTACTACACAGCTCTGACAGTCGGTTCTCACCGGTCCAACAGAACCGGAGTGCTGTGCATTAAGGAGGAGTTGTGTCCGCATCACTTCCTGGAGGAGATCCACTACTGGGGCGTGAGGATCAAATACACGCATCGCTGCTGCCGCATCTCGTTTGAGGAGCGGCAGGACGAGCTGAACGAGCAGCTGAAGGTCCAGAAGGAGCTGCTGGCCGAGGTGGGTCCAACAGAACCTCCTCGAACTGCAACAACCTGCAGCAGCTGCACTGCAAAAACACAAAGCCGAAACTAGACCAACAATTCTTGGTCTAGTTTCGAACGCAAATATCTTAGTTCACCTGAAATAAGACAAAACTTTTAAGCAGGAAATAGGATCTTGTTTTGAGACAATAATTCCTTAACATTAATGAAAAATTACTAGTTCAAATGAGCTGTTTCAAAAACCTTTCAAATGTAATGTCACAAATCAGAAGGCACTGCTCTGTTACCTAGCAACCCCAACTAAGTCCAGCATGTTACCTAGCAACCCCAGCTAAGTCCAGTATGTTACATAGCAACCCCAACTAAGTCAGCATGTTACCTAGCAACCCCAACTAAGTCCAGCATGTTACCTAGCAACCCCAACTAAGTCCAGTATGTTACCTAGCAACCCCAACTAAGTCCAGCATGTTACCTAGCAACCCCAACTAAGTCCAGCATGTTACCTAGCAACCCCAGCCAGTTTTAACTTCGTATGCTTTGTGTATTGGCAAGAAAAATTTGCTTTTTAAAGTCAATAATTCCCTAAACTTGATGAAAAAGTTCTAGTTCACAGCAGACAGATGTGACCCATTTCATGCAGATCTGAACGGTCCAATTCTGACCTTTCCGCCTTTGTGCCACTTCCTTCTGTGGAACAAAATTATACCCGCTAAATTTAGTTAGCAGATAACTGAACGGTCATGTCGTATTTTATCCAACTTTTACTTCAGTGACGTAAAACATGCGTCATAGTTCTGCAGGAGAAGCCAGACGCGGTAAATTCAGACATAAACCATGGCTAAAGCTAGCTGACGTTAGCATTAGCAGTGTTTTCTTTTGATCTGCTTCCTTTACCGTTATTACTCTACTTTCCAGTGTTCACATAGAAGTCTGATGGTGGTTGTTTAGTTATTAGCATGAACAACCAGGCAAAAAATATTGGATTTCAGCAAACAATAACGTTGGAGTTTGTGTGCTTCAGGTTAGATTTAAATAATTGTAGGGTTTGGCAAAGATTAGGGGATGTTTAATGTGTAAAACACTTTAATTAAGAGAGGAAGTGTCACTTTGTCATCATCATCAACAGCAGGAAACCTTAAAGAGCAGTAAAACCAGAGTATGAATAGAATAATGTTCCAGTTATTCATCTTTATTTTTGCTGGTGATTTTTTTTCCACCTGAGGTTTTAAGTCAGTAATCTGCTGCCTGACCCCGAGTCTCTGACCCACATGATGCCGTCGTCTTGACAGATGGGCAGCAGAGTAATCTGCTTCTTGGCCCAGATTCAGGCAGATGTTTCCCTCACTGACGCCATCGCTTTGTTTCCCCAGCAGCATTAAAGCACAAAGAAAAGAAAGATAACCAGAAGAAACACAAACAGCAGATTTTATTCAGTTCTTTCATTAAGGGAAAAAAACTGTTAAATCATAATTTAACTGGGTTTAAACTGTAATTTTATAAATCAAATTAATCAAACTCAGACCTGATCATTATCTGATAAAAGTATCTGAGTTTTGATTTTTACATTTTAAATGTCCAACAGAATCAGCTTTGGTACGTTAGCTTGTTTAAACACAACTAAATATTTTACAGTGTTTGATCTGAATGTGTGAAATGTTGAGATAAAAATCAATTTTCTATGATCTTCTGAGGCTGAAAGCGATGGATGGATGGATGGATGGATGGATGGATGGATGGATGGATGAACATTTGGATGAACGGTTGGATGGATGAACGATTGGATGGATGAACGGATGGATGGATGGTTGGATGGACGGATGGTTGGATGAACGGTTGGATGGATGAACGGTTGGATGGATGAACATTTGGATGAACGGTTGGATGAACGGTTGGATGAACGGTTGGATCCTGACAGAGTAAGTCTCTCCGCCCTCAGCTGGAGCTGGAGGAAAGCGACTCCATGTTTGATCACATGACCTTTGGCCCGACCCGGAAGAAGATCTGGAACCTGACGGAGAAACCGTTTTCCTCCATCACCGCCAAGCTGATGGGCGTGGCCTCCTCCTTCTTCGTGCTGGTCTCCCTGGTTGCCATGACGCTCAACACCGTGGACGAGATGCAGTACAAGGTTCGGTATTTAAACCCAGAGGGAAACGGTTCTGGACCGGTCCCGTCTCACCTGCGGTTCTGACCCGCTGCAGACGCCGTCGGGCCAGCCCAGCGGACGGTTCTACGGCGAGGGCATCGAGACGCTCTGCATAGCCTTCTTCACCCTGGAGTACCTGCTGCGGCTGGTCTCCACGCCGGACCTGAAGAGCTTCATGCGCAGCGTCCTGAACACGGTGGACCTGATCGCCATCCTGCCGCACTACCTGCAGATGCTGCTGGAGGGCTTCGAGGACGAGGACGTCCACCGCCACGCCGGGGACATCGAGACCGTCGCACGCGTCGGCAAGGTAACACCACAGCACTCCACACTGCATGCTAATCCGCTAATAGCTGAGCTAATTGTCTTTTAGCACTTTAGCTAACTTTGAAAACATTTAGCGCACTTAGCTTCCCTTCATGCTAAAGCGCTAATTTACTTGTCTGTTTTGTAAACTTCCAGCTACACAAAGTTTGATATAAGATGTAATTTTAATTGAAGTTAGCGCTTTAGCAATGGATTCCGGTCTTTACTGTGTTGGTATAGCGTTTTAACATTTGATTAAATAACATGTTGGTCCACTATATACCATGCTGGTTTAGGGATTTAGCTTTAGAATTTAATAAATACAATTTTGGTGAAGCAATTTAGCATTAGATTCAGCTGAGTATCATGTTGGAGTAGCGTTCTATGTGAGCTTCAGCTAACTACCATATTGGTGTACCGCTTTAACATTAGCTTCAACTAAATACGTATGATGTTGGTGTAGTGATTTAGTGTTAGGTTCCACTAAATTATGTGTTGGTGTTGTGTTTTGATGTCAGTTTCAGCTAAATACTAAATGTAGCATTTAGCATTAGCTTCCGATAAATGTTGTGTTGACGTGTCGCTTTAGCATTAGTGGAACTATTGTTTATGATTAGCGCATTAGGCTTGATTAAGCTAACCTTTTAGTTAGCGGTGTCCTCCGCCGATGCTCCAGGGTTTTTTGAATTGTGGATCTTCTGTGTGTTTTTCCTCCAAGGTGGGTCAGGTTCTGAGGATCATGCGTCTGATGAGAATCTTCAGGATCCTGAAGCTGGCCCGTCACTCCACTGGGTTAAGAGCGTTTGGGTTTACGCTGAGGCAGTGCTACCAGCAGGTCCGGATCCCAACGGTGTGAGGACCAGGCCTGGTTTGGTTGATGTTGGTGATTCACGTCCTTCTTGTCGCTGCAGGTGGGCTGTCTGCTGCTCTTCATCGCCATGGGGATCTTCATGTTCTCCGCCATGGTGTACAGCGTGGAGCACGACGTCTACAACACCAACTTCACCTCCATGCCTCACGCCTGGTGGTGGGCCACGGTGAGTCCACTCTACAAGGCTTTGACTAGACCATTAGATCGCAGTCACCGGCTGGATCAGAGGCGGCTTTACTTCCAGGTTCTTCTTACTGTAGGAAGAAGGAAAGTAGGACATTTACAAGGCGTGAAGGAATCAGGAGACAAAGAAGGAAAGGACACTAGGAAGAAAGGAATGAGATAAGGAGGGAAAACACTTGCAAGGAATGAAGGAAGGAAGGAAATCAGGATGAGAGGAAGGAAGAAACGAAGAAAAAAAGGAAGACACTAGCAAGAAAAGAATAAGACGGAAGGAAATAAGAAATGAAGGACACTTGCAAGGAATAAAGGAACGAAGAAAACTAGGAAGGGAGGAAGGAGACAACAAAGGAAGGAGCAAATAAAGAATTAAGGCAAGGTGGAAGGAAGGAATTAGGAGACAAAGAAAGAAGTTGTGGAGGAAGCAAGGAAAGGAGAGAAGAGCAAAATTAGATAAGGAAGGAATTCAGGGAAGAATGAAATAAAACATTAGCAAGAAAGGAGCAATACAAGGAAGGACAGATATAATGAAAGAAGGAAGAAAACCGGGAAGAGAGGAGGGAATAAGCAAACGAGGCACCAGGAAGAAAGAAAGGACACTAGGATGAGAGGATAAAGGAATCAATGAAACTTTGTTCCCTTAATAAATGAAGTTGTTTAAATAAAACTGTTGATCCAAATATAACAATACATTTATGATAAAATACTTTTCAATAGAGAAATAAAAGTAAAGCAGGGCGTCTCCTCCTGTCTGCTGGTCCAGGTGAGCATCTCCACGGTGGGATACGGCGACATGCTCCCAGAAACCAACCTGGGCCGCGTCTTCGCCTTCGCCTGCATCTCGTTCGGCGTCATCCTGAACGGCATGCCCATCTCCATCCTCTACAACAAGTTCTCCGACTACTACACCAAGCTCAAGTCCCACGAGTTCGCCATGGTCAGCAGGGCGCGGGGGAAGGTCCGCTTCATCAAGAGGGCCGCCAAGCGCTTCGCCGACTGCTGCGACGACGTCGCTCAGCTGAAGCAACATGGAGGGCGGCGGTTGATGGTCGCCAACGACTAAACTCCAAAAACTGAACCTCCATCCATCAGCCTGTCGTTCCCTGGAGAAAACTAACGCACACAAACAACCCAAACACTGTAAATTCAGCTTTGTTGCTGCAACTGCATGAAGCTGGACTGATATGGAGCACCATTAGAGTCTAAAATTAACAGCAGTAATTTGTGTTTTTCAGCCTGTAATAACAGAAAAACATGGTTGGCCATTTTTCAAAGGCATATTGTCACCGTGTTATTCATTACTAAATATTTAGTTTGAAGCTAAATGTTTAAACTAAATATTTAGCTTGCTAACAAAATGGTTACCTCAAAGCTAAATAATTAGTCTCAAAACAACTAATTAGCTTATAGTTAATATTTAGCATTAAACTATTTAGCTTGATAAGTATTTAGTTCAAAGAAAGAATAATTAGTTAGCAATCAAAATATTTTCTTTGAAGCTAAATATTTAGTTTGAAGCTAAATATTTAGTTTGAAGCTCGGGTTTTTATGAATTAATGCTTAATATGGTGAAATTATGACTTTAAGGATGAACCAGGACTAAATGGCTTAGTAACCCAAAATATTGCTGTTAATTTTTGACTGTGCAACTTTACAAACGCTCCACAATTCTTGAGGAGTTTTTGGACTTTTCCACCTGGATGTTGGAAATGTTTTGACAACAAGACTACATTTCTGTTTGGGTCAGACAAAAGCCATACCGGACACATTCTAGAAAAACTTTTGATGTAGCATATTAGCTAATAATGCTCAGTTTCTCTGTATTTAAATGAAAGTAACGTTAAATTATAAACAGAGAATATAACTTTTCTACAAAACTTTTGTCCTTTTCATTGTTTTAAAGAAACTTCACTGTGGATTTGTGGCACACATTTCTGCATTTCCATATAGAACCTGCCAAAAAAAAAAACAAAGGCCAAATGGAGGAAGTAAATTCAAAACAGTGCCATAAATTTTAGTTTTTAATATCTCCAGTTATTTGTGGTACATTTGTTTCGCCCTCAGAAACTAACATTTTTACAAAGGCAGGTGTAAATGTTGGAAGCTTTTTGAGATGTACAACAATATTTAAATCAACATTAATAATAATAATAATAATAATAGCACTCTGAACACAAAATATCTCAATTTTTATTTTATTTTCAGTTAACATTTATCACTATCGCACCAAAAAAGAAAAAGTGACTGAACCAGTCCACAAACTGGTGTGTGCTGACTGGGCAGTGTTGGTGTTATAATTGAAAGGTTCGGGTTTCATGCTCCACTTTGATGAACCCACATGAATGTGTGTCATTTTTGTACGGCACATCCTTTAAATTAATGAACCAGATCAGGATTAACGGCTGAAATCTCCAAAACGTCCCCGACTTTGTCCACTTCTCACGTCGTCCTCCATGTCTTGGACGTTTTATGGTCCAAACGAAGCAACGTTTCAACATCTGCAGTCCAGTTATAATTATAAAAACCTGAAGAAATCCATCTACTTGTTCAGGTTTTGCAGCAGGATTTCGGCTCCTTTATGGTCGTTGATTCTCTGGAGCTCAGGGATGATGGCTGTCAGCGCCGCCTTCACCTCAGCAGCCACAGACGAGTCACAGCTGTTCAGGAGGCTGCAGAAACAAAACAATCATCAACACAAAACTCCTGCAACACCTTACAAAGTCCTAAATTACGAACCTTAGGAGCACCACTCATTTCAGCTGTTTGTGAGCATAAAGTTTGTTCTGATGGTGTTGACACATTCCAGATGTTCTCCATCATCACATCAGTATGTTTTGCGTTTTAACTCTGTGTAATCGAACTCTTGGGTACAACAGGTTGGAAAAATGTGAGGCTCACCTATCAGGTGACAGTTGTGAGGAACTTACTGAAGCTGATTTTTTTTTCTTTTTATAAAGCATATGCAGATGGATTATTCAACAATGAAACCACTTGAAACTGGTTATTTAGTACATTTTAATGCTTGAATTAACATCAAATTGTACAGAAAATAAAATATTTCTTCTGTTTTTGTTGTCAATGAGATTTAAAATTAATTAGCAATTATTAAGCTTAACATTGCACACACGATTAGTGTAAATTTTGATATGATGTTAAAAGGCGACACCAGGCACTTAAGGAATAAAGCAGACTTTTAATCTGTGGTATGTATTTTCTTAAAGCTGCAAAACAAAAAATATTGAGGTCTCTATTGTAAATGAGCTGTTGTAACAAGCTGTATAAATAAAAGGTAAAAATAAAATACAGCAAAATCCCTTCACTGCACAGTCCAATGAACTCCTAACATCTTTTTTGCAACATGAAGTCAAAGCTACAAGTTGAATTTCAACAGTCATTGGTTTTCATCCCACAGTGTTTCTGTCCCAAGAAACAAAGAATATTCCATTAGTGTTGATGTAAATAATTGATCTATGGATATTATTTTTTATAATCTAAAGTAATCATTTGATCCAAAGTTACATGATCAATATACATGCACAGGATTTATTTATTCTACTATAATTAAATTTGACAGTCACTCATTTTCATTCTTTCGTTGCCGAGTGTCGCTAAAAAGCATCAAACCTCAAATTAGACATAACTTTCAGAATTTTGATAATGTGTGGAAGACATTAGTAAACCAAAATATATCATTTTTATTTGCACAACTTAGTTCAGGTTTAATATTATTTTAGTAATAATATTAATATCATTTTAGTTTATTAGCTAAAATCCATTAACCACAAGCAGTTCACCCTCTGACCACTAGATGGTATCAAAGCACTTTTAATAGTGTGTGCTAGCATGAGAGGCTGATTTATCAACCGTCTCACAACAAAAGAAACATGAAGCTAATTAGCATCACCAGTCCATAAAAGATAAAATCACTTTATATGCTGATGATATTTAGACACTCCACTGTAGCAGATGAACCTGAGAGAGCATCTGCAGGGACTGGTTGCCATGGTAACCCACTAACAACTTCACCTGACCAGCTCGTTTAGCTTAAATCCCAGGTGGTTTTCTTTTTTTGTTTGTTTTTTTTTAGGTTTAAGGTGTTAAAGCTAAAATGTGTCAAAATGTAAATAAGTCATATTTAAAAAGCCTGAAAAACATAAAAACTAATTTTACAGACGGATGTTAAATCAGAGTGAACCAGCAGAGCTGAGCATGAAGCTGACCTGCAGAGCACCATGGCTCCCCGGTTGACCTTCACCCAGCTCTTCATCGTCTCCGTCCCCACCGTGTCCACCAGGATCCTGCTGAAGCGCTCTGTGGGGACAGAGACATCAGAGAGGACAGAGACACCAGAGAGGACAGAGACATCAGAGAGGACAGAGACATCAGAGAGGACACAGACAGAGACGTCCTGCTGGTCTCACCCTCCCTGCCGTCCTCGGCCAGCATGGCGTCCTGCTCGATGAGCCACTTCAGCACCAGGTGTCCTGCTGGGTGTTCAGCCATGTGGAGCTGCAGCAACAAAGACAAGAAGCTGTTTGAATCCACATGTTGTTTTTCTAATAGTTCTACCTGATTTGCTGCCCACTGAGAAAGGATTTCATATTTAGAATCAATTTCTTTCCTGTTCATTTTTATGACCTTTTGGACCTTTCAGTTCAGCACAGCTGGTTTTTAACCAACCTTGTCTCCATGGAAACGCTGCTTTCAGCACATTTCTGTATAAACATTATAAAGTTCACCAGAGAAACTCTGACATGTTCCATGAAATTATGGGAAATATTTAAATACCAGTCAGGATTTACCTGAAGGAAGGAATAAAGATACTAGGAAGAAAGAAAGGAAGCGTACTAGGAAGGAAGGGAGCAAGGAAGGGACTTCCTGCAGAGGATCAGCTGGATTCAGTTCAAATGTCAAAGATGTTCCTGCTGGAACTGGTTTTACTGGTTTTCATTCGGTGGTATCAGAGTAAATGGGGCTCCATTTATAAACATTTCTCTATTTTTAGGTTTAAGTTGCAGAAATAAAATTAACTTTATTAATTTCCTCCTCAGCGCGACGCAGCACTTTGATCAACCCAATACAGCCTGGAAGTTTCCTCCCATTATGGGATGTCACCGTTGCCATAACAACAGAAAATGGGCCTGAAACCGGTTCCCCTCACCTGTCCCTTGATGCCTCCCGGCACCAGCTCCTGATTGGCCAGCTGGGCCACGGCCGTCATGGCGGGCCGCAGGTCGCCGCACGCCGACGCCAGGATGTCTCTGACGGTGACGCTGGCCGCCTTGTCCGTTACCATGGCGGCGGCGTTCAGACGGAGATGATCCAAAAGCGGCGGGGAGGCGGCCTCCAGCAGCTCCCGCCGCCGGATCGCCATGTCCTTTTTACTGAGCAGAACCAGAACAGGCAGAGGTCATTAGAGGTCATTAGAGGTCATTAAAGGTCATTAGAGGTCATTAGAGGTCACTGGACTGGACAGAGTTTTAATGCTTGACTAACACAGAACTCTACTTCCTGTCTGGGAAGGATTAGAGGCTTTTATTGTGGAAGTTTTAGAGTAAATCTGTGAAGCTCAGCAGAAAAGTCCAAACATCTGGAGCCGACCTGCAAACATCCCATAATATTCTCAACACTCATTTATTATGATTTAGTTTAAGATGTGGATATTATCAACATTGATGCTTTTGTGTGTTTATTTTTATTTAAAGAGAAGAGGAAGGAGCTGAGGAAGGAAAGGAAAGAAGGAAACAATGACACAAGGTAGAAAAGGAAGAAAGGAAAGTAAGGATAAAAAGAAGGAAAGCAAATAAGGACAGAAAGGAGGAAAGGAAAAACCACAAGGAAGGAAAAATCCAAGGATGGAAGGAAAGGAAAGAAGGACCCAAAGAAATGAAAGAATCAGGGAAGGAAAGGAAGGAAGGACACAAAGGTGGAACAGAAAGTAAGGTAATTTTATTTATATAGCACTTTTTCAGCAACAAGGCAATTCAAAGTGAAGGAAGAATCCAAGGAAGGACACAGGAAAGGAAAGGAAGCAAGGATGACAAAAAGGAAGAAGGGCAGAAGGAAGGAAAAAAATGAAGTAAAGGTAGAAGGAATCATGGAGACGTTTGGGAACGGACTGGGGTCACGTTGATTTAATCTGACTAAAGTTTCACCCAGATTCATCATATTTTAGAGACCAGTCAGGAGCTTTTATTGTGAAATGAAAGGAAGTGCTGGCTACCTGTGTGCGTTGCCGTCTCCTTGCTCCAGCTGCTTAACGATGTCCGGCAGCATGTGGTTGGGGTTTCTGGGGCTCAGCAGGTACAGCAGAACCTTCTTGCCGTGTTTGTTTCCGAGGACCTCTGGCAGGACGGACAGCAGCTCCTGCAGAGAGCAGAGCAACGATTCAGCTTCCCCCGGAGGAACAAACCCGTTTGGAACGGCTGATTACGGGACAAACGTTTGATACGTAGAAAAAGAGCTAAAAACTGATTTTTACTGTTTACTTTTTTTAGCAAACTATTGTTTTGTAAAGTCACATTTAGTTTTGTTTTGTAATCTTATTTTACCAAAATAAAGTGAATCAGAATGTGAACCTGGACGTACCGACAGAACCGCCTGTTTGACCAGCTTGGTGTCGTCCACACAGTCGAATATGGCCAGAAGAACCAGGTGACCAAACTCCCCCTGCAGGACGAAGAGTTCACCATCATCATCATCATGATCATCATCATCACCATCATCATCATCAGCTGATGTTTGATTCGACTGCCAGCAGCGACGATGAACTCACCGTGGCGAACTTCACCATGTAGGTCTTCATGGTTTTTATAATGACTTTTCTGTCCTGAAAAACAAAGAAAATCCTTTAAAGCTGCAATTTGTAACTGGAGGAGGGACTTAGCGCTGTCAATCAACTCATGTACTTGTTGCTAAATGTGTTCATGGAAAAACAACTCAGCATTGCAGGAAAACAGTTTGTCCACCTTTATCAGTGGCTATGCTAAATAGCATTAGCATTCACAACAGGTTCCGCCTCCCGGCTCTGATTGGTTGTTTCTAGTTAGCGCCCAGGTCCACAGCTGAGTGGTTACCATGGAGATTAAAGGATTTCCCAAACATGCATGAAATGCAGATATATTGTGAAATCCCAGTAAACATGGACTGTGCCGATGTCAGAACATTAAAGCTGCTGGACATCTGAACCCACCTTCGCTGTGCCGTGCCACAGGCAGTGCATGGCGACCCGGGCGCCGTCGTGAGTGTGAGCCATGTAGACCACAGCCTCCCTGATGGACTCGATCATCTCCTGCTCAGAGTCACAGCAGGCAGAACACATGACAGATGAAATCCAACGTCATGCAAACATCTGACCACACTGGAAACAAGACAAAACTAACGTACAAGTAACTTTTAGCCAAGATGTAGGAGCTTGTTTTAAGTGAATAATTTCTTAAAGGTGATGTATTTGAACAACATTTTTCTTAGTAAATGAGACTTTAGTTGCTTAGTTGTGCTTATTTTCATCCTTTCAGAATAACCTGTTTCACAACCTCTGTCACTTTAAATCCAAATAAACTCACAAGACCTTTATTTACGCTGGAGAATACGTTTATGTTTTTACAGGAAGATGGCGGCGCTCACCGTTCTTTGCTTTTCAGGTGCGAACTGGAAGAAATCCAGAAAGACTTTATGGACCACAGAATGCCTGATGACCTGTTCTCTGTCAGAGACGCAGAAACTGTCAGTCCTGCTCATTTTCTAAATAATAACCAAAACTTAATGTGTTGTTTTTTAGTGCATATGCTTTACTTCTGCGCCAGCGGCACGATGACCTGCTTGGTCTCCTCCAGGATGTTCTCCAGCTTCTCCGGGTTCGCAGCCAACACCGTCTCCAGGGTGTTACGCTCCAACGACTGGAAAACGAGCAGAGAGGATCGGTTAGCACAGCTGGAGCTCATCGCTGACCGCCAGGACTGTGTGTGTGTGTGTGTGTGTGTGTGTGTGAGACCTTGCAGATGGCGTAGGTGTTCCCGTACAGCTCGCTGGTGATCATCAGCCTCTGAGCGAGGATGGCCTTGTCGTTGTAGGCGTACTCGACGATGCTGGAGGCGGAGGCGTGGCGGAGCATCTTGCGAATGTGACCGCTGAACAACTGGATGATGGCGGCAACCATCTCCTTGTTCCTGAGCGGGAAAGAACCAGGAGAAGAAGAAGTAGAAGAAGTTGGGTTTTTTAAGTCAGCTGGATCCGGCTGGGAAACGGCCGCCCCCTGCTGGCCGTTTCCTCTTCTCAGGTTTAGGGAAACTTGGTTTTCTGCCATCGGAACGGTCCAATCCGACTCACCCGTACATCAGCAGCTTCTTCACTATGTGTTTCCCGTACGGCGACTTGGACATTTCGAGGATGCTGTCTGCAGAGAGCGATGGATCGATGATTTCATTTTATTATATTTTAGCGCTGCAGCGGGTCAGAACCGGCGCCTACCTTTCAGCTCCTCAAACACCTCAAATCGCTGCTTCTCGTTCCCGAACTGAATGAAACACTGCAGGACTCGCACCGAGTCGTGGGCGAACGCCATCTGCAGGCAGAGGAGCGCCGTCGCATCAGAACAACGACAGAGAGAGAAATCTGAGTCTGAGCTGCAGCGTCACGCTCGTCCCTCAGGTCGTTGGTTTTCCATATTTGCCATTAGTCACTTGAATTTCAGAATGACAGTCATTTTTCAAGATCAAACTAGTTATTATTGCCACAAAATGAGACCTATTTTCATGACTTGGATGAACTTTGTCACATCAAATGTTTACAATTTTGGTCATCCTAGTCATAAAACTTTAGAGTAAAAACACATGAAGCAAAATCAGAAGCTGCTGTTTGTGAATCTCACAAGTCGTCAACTGGAATTTGTGTCACATCGATTTTGCAGTTATTTTAGTGATTATCTTCCATATTTTTTTATTTGTTTAGCAGGTTTTTATTGTTTTTTCAAACAACCAACCTGCTTCATCTTCCCTCGGATCAGTCCATGAAGCTCCTTCATCAGCTTCGTCTTCTGCTCCGTGTCACATTTCTTCCTGTTGACCCAAACATCAGCCATCAGTTGGAATCAGGAGGAAACCCAGCTGACCTTTGACCTCCTCTCTGAGAACGCCGTACCTCCGGAGATTCCCCCACACCGCTTTGCAGCGGCTGATGATGTCGAACATCTCCTTCCTCTCCGCCTGCTGCCGGTTGTTCTTCAGCTCTCTCTTCTTCTCCAGTCGCTTCTTCTTCAGCTCTTCTTCTGTGGGCGGCGGCTTCTTGCCGCTCTTCTGCCTCTTCGCCGGCGGACCTGATCGTAGACGCAGACACGACTCAAATGCTGTCGTCCAACAAAAATAAAACACAACAACAAGGATGTAAACTCACCACCGCCCCCTGCTGGCCGTTTCCTCTTCTCAGCTTTAGAGAAACTTGGTTTTCTGCCATCGTTTGGTTTTCCTGGTCTGCTCTTCTTCTCTGTGTTCTTGTACGGCTTGAAGGGTTTTTTCGCTCCAGGTTTCCCTCCGAATTTGGTTCCAACTGAGTCTGGAATGAGTCGACAAGCTGAAGCCCGAGTGTAAGAGTTTAACTCCTGTTAATTTGACACACGTCTCACCTTTTCCTTTTCCTTTGAATGACGGTTTTCGTCCAGGCTGAGAGGAGAACGGTTTTTGGGGTTTGGCTTCCATGCTGACGTGGGATCCAAGGAAATGCTGAGAGGAAACCAGGAACAAATCTCACCTACAGGTGTAAACACAGTTTAACCCAAAGCAACAGCTGGAAGGAATGTTTAACCGGTTCGGGTTTAATTAGCCTGTTTAATTAGACAGAATCATTCAATCTATTCAATCTGAACCTCAGGAAGAGTTTTGGTTTTAAAGTGTAGAGTTCTTTTAAATAACAAAAACAGGTTCAAATTTTATCTTTTTTTCTGTTCCAACAAATGAAATAGACTTTTGAAATTTTTAATTTCTAAGGTTTTCAGCTCATATCGACAGTCTTCAGTCAGAGGACTCTTCAGATTTGTTGTAAAACTGACTGCTACAGGAGATCCTTCCTGCCCAAAACATCAACATTCACAACGACTCTTTGAAATACTTAGATACCATGAATCACTTCAACATTTAATTTCCTTTAGTAATAAAATGTTTTTGGATTAAATATTTAAATTAAAGATCCACAACATGCAGAGTTTGTTTCACTTCCTTTGACTTTATTCCCATCGCAGTTCGCCTGAACAGAAAATATTTCCCGTTCTAAATCGCTACATCCACAATATACATTTGAATATTTATCAATAAATAACATTAAGTCGTAGAGACAAAAAATTAAATATTGATTTTTGTCGCTGTGTTGTAGCATAAAACTAAGTAACGCCTTTGATTGAGGAATCCATCGGTAAACATCATCACTCTGAATAAAACCGTGTTCTGTAATCACATTATGCTTCTTCTGTCGCTTTCTAACCATCAGTGTAAACATAGAGAATAGTTTACAATATATTACAACTGAAAGTAACGAATTATTGAACATTTTCAAGGAATAACTTACAGTTCAGCTGTACGACACGTTGTTTCAACTTCGTCCCATGCGTCTTGTTGTCGTTCCGGTTTACGACAAAGCCGTAAGTCATCTGTCGTTGTCGTAAAATATGTCTGCCTTCATAGATAGAGAGTTTAAAGTTTCCATTCTACTTTTGTCATTTGTTTGTACGCTTTAATATTCTAAAATGCGCCCAGATAACAATAAAAGTGCCGAATTCCACCTTTTCTCCCAATTATGTATCTTTATTTTAGCTGGTATGAAAGGACCAAACTTTGTTATCTTGGTTAAAGGTAAGAATTAAAACCTAAAAACATTTATGTGTTGTGTTTAGAATGTTTTTATCAAGAGCAATTTTGGTTTATTTATTTTATCTATGTAAGGTTTTTTTTTTCGGTTTCAGTGTCCGGGTTAGTCTTTTTCGTGGAGAACTACATTAACCAGAATGCTTTGCAAGCATGGAATTGCGTTATTTTGTTGCCTGGCAACGCGTCAACATACAGGGAGAAGTGCGAGAGCTTATCTATAATTTTTAAACGGCTGACAGAAAAAAACATATCGACTAAATAAATTAGCTTTTAATAGATATTTTTAGTTTCATAGGTTAAGAAATCTTGAAAATTTGTTATTTAAATTTTTTTCTCATTGGAACGACACCATGTCGAATGAAGGCGCAAGTTCAGTTAGTGAAGAAGGTGAACAGGCTGAAAACACATCGTCCTCCACACAGCAACACACTGAAGGTACTTCAGACTCTGTAGCTGTCTCTTAGCGTCCCAACCGTTTCACACTTTTAAGAAAAAGTTACTTTGACAATATTCATTGAATTAAATAAAGGTACCGTCTTCATTCTAACCAAGCAACAGAAGGTAAACAGTGACGCTAAAATACTAACTTGTTTGGCTTTTTACTGTTAAATTGCTGCGGACACTTCGTAATTATGCTAAATTTATATTACCCAATAATCTGGCATTACTGCTGTTCCGTTTGTAATCTGAACTCGGAGATGGGAATGACGTCACACGGGATTCCAATATGGCGATGCTCAAATAGCCACTGAAGATCATTTTACAAGCAAGCGCGACTTTTAATTTTCTTTAATTTAGAGTTGCAGGCGCTACATGTAGCTTTGATTTTTATACACATTACAAGGGTGTCAGTAAAAGCTTACTGTTAATGAAAGGAGCGGCCATATTGGATCTGGAAGCCAGCGTTTGAAAAATTCTGAGACTTTCCGAGGGAGAAGTTCAAATATGGGTTCAGTTGATTTTTCTGATTCAGAAGTAAGAATTTCTGACCTACAGCTACAAAAACAATGGCTATTAGCCTTCGCCATACTACAATCCCAACTTCTCCAACACAAGCTTTTTTTTACGACTACCTATTAGGACTATGGTAAATTTTCACTAATAGAACTTCAGCAATTTTCTATAATAATTTATTACGGAGCAAAGCTATCCAAGCTAAAATCTGCATTTGACAAAAGTGATAAGATAATAAAGATAGTTGAAAACAGTCTCTCTGTTGTTTCCTATAATGTGATAAAAACGGTGTGAATGTGGATGTTCCCTCCGTGACCCAGGAGGCGGCGCTGAAGAGCCCAGTGAGAAGCTGAAGAACGGCCTGTCTGAAGACACGTTCTACAACTACGAGGAGCTGCACTCCAGAGCCACCATCACCCCCGACTCAGAGATCCCAGAGAACCTGCTGCTCTTCTCGTATCCGCACCTCTCAGCCAGAGCAAACTACAACTAAAACAGCAGCAACAGCAGCTACTACAATAACTACACACACAACTCAGAGCAAACTACAACTACTCAAACAACTACTACTAAAACTACACACACTGCCTGCTACTTTACACCACTTTGGTTAATTTTTTCTAGATAATTAAGAAATTACTGTAAAAAACTCTTTCTTTCTTTCTTTCTTTCCTTCTTTCTTTCTTTCTTTCTTTCTTTCTTTCTTTCTTTCTTTCTTTCTTTCTTTCTTTCTTTCTTTCCTGTTCTTATTTAAATCTCTCTCACTAAACTGTCCAGTTTTTCCAGGTTAATGTTCATGAATCATGAGTCCATCTGGAACACCTCTCCTCCTCCTCCTCCTCCTCCTCCTCCTCGTTCTCTCCTTCTCCACTCTTCCTCTCCCCTCCTCCCCCCCTCCTGTTCTCCTCCTTGACTCCTTCGCTCCTCCAGCCACTCGTTCGGCTACGACAGCGGTCGCAGGTCCAACCTGAGGCTGCTGGACGAGACGACGCTGCTGTTCATCGCAGGAAACCTGCTGGTGGTGCTGGACATCCCCACCAGGCAGCAGACGTACCTGCGCTCCTGCAGCGGCGGAGGAATCGGTGGCATCGCGGTCAGGAAACTAAAACATGTTAACCTTCTTATGGATGGAAAATGTTTTCACTTAGAAAACAAAAATCACATTTTCACATGGTTCTGTTTTTAAGTATCTTAAATCTTAAAATGAAATTAATCCATTCTGGATTCCCAGGTCTCACGATTGAATCGTTTATTTTCTGGACCTTTAGTCATGAATCCAGTCACAGTTTTCACCCCCCAAAATACTGTGAAATACAGAAGAAAACGACGGAGTATTAGGGCCATTCAGATAGAAAATATAGAACTAAATTTATGCCAAAAATCTAGAATTTGGTTGAAAAATTTGGTCTGATGTTTTGAGATTAATCTCTCAAATTTTCGAGAAAAAAAATGGAAATTTCTCAGTCTGGGAAGTAAAAAATTTGCTGGAAACTGAGATTAATCTCAGAAATGTTCTAGAAAAGACTTTGAAGTTTCAATTTTACAACTTTTGGAAATTTCAAAAGTCAACAATTCGAAATGTTGAGATTAATCTCAGAAATAAAGAAATCTCTCAGCTAAAAAATTTAAAAAAATTTTGATTGATTTCAGAATTTTTTTAGAAAACAACAACATCATATCAGAACTCCAAAAGTCAGTCTTTTCTTTAGTTTTGGAAATGTTCTGAGTTTCATAAAATTGAAAATCATAAATTTCCAAGTGTTTTCTAAAGAACTTTTGAGATAAATCTCAAAATGACAGATTTTTGATGAAATTGTTCTCTTTTTCTTTCTATCTACAACAGGGGGGCCCAAAGTGGGTTTTTGAGGCCCGGCATCCTGCATGTTTTAGTTCTCTCCCTGGTGGTAGCAACAACCTTTTCAGCTTGTCAATGTTCCTCTGAGGCCTTCTAACAGGCCATCATTTGATCCAGGTGCGTTAAACCAGGGAGAGAATAAAACATGCAGGATGCCGGCCCTCCAGGACCACCTTGGGCTCCCCTGATCTACAACATCCCTGATACGTCGTGTTTTAAAAACCCCAACTTAATCTGTTCTTCTCTGTGTTCAGGTTCATCCAGCCGGAGGGTCCTTCGCTGTGGCAGAGAAAGGAAAAAATCCTTTCATCATCATCTATGAATATCCTTCACTCAGGCCGTTTCGCATCCTCAGAGGTAAACATGTCCATATTTTCCCATAATCCTCCCTGTGGCGGCGCTCGGTGCTCAGTGTGAACGTGTCCAGGCGGAACGGAGCGCATGTTCAGCTTCGTGGACTTCAACCCGGACGGCACCCTGCTGGCCAGCGTTGGCGGCGCCCCCGACTACATGCTGACGGTGTGGAACTGGAGGCAGGAGGAGGTGATGCTGAGCTGCAAGGCCGTCTCCCAGGAGGTGTACCGGGTCAGCTTCTCCCCACACATCCCGGGTCTGCTCACCTCCTCTGGCTCTGGACACATCAAGTACGCAGCAGACCCGACCCGCTCACAGCGCAGTTCAGCTTTCTGCCTCTAGGTGGCTTTCAAAGGACAACACAGGCTATTTTGATGAGAAAAACCAAAATAATTCAGAATCTAATGCAAATATTTAAAAACCAAGTTATAGAAAATTAATAGATTAAAAGATACAGGAAGATTTTCACAGATTTCAATAAAGTTTGCAGATTTTTATGACTGGAAAAACTGTGGATCTCTGCAGCTCCTCCAGAGCCCCGACTTTCAATAAGCAAACAAAGAATTTAGTTCAGATTAGAGAATTATTCTGTTTTCCTCTGAGGCTGGAAGAATCCCAGCAACAATCAGCAACGATCCAGATTTGATTTGTTTGATGTTTTGTTTCTTTCTGTCAGGTTTTGGAAAATGGCGGAAACTTTCACGGGTCTCAAACTGCAAGGAATCATGGGACATTTTGGGAAAACCGCATCGACTGACATTGAGGGCTACGTGGAACTTCCTGATGGGAAGGTGAGGATGTTGCTCCTGGAAGGACCTGGAAAAACCTGGAATTTTGTCTTAGTTCCTTAAAAGTAACCTGTTATGAAAAATTCACATTTTGCACATTTTGTTCTTCCATTTGGGCTTCTATTGTTCTGAAAACAGCTCAAGCGCTTACAAACACCATCTAGGGGGTTTTGGCAATAAGTTCATTTAAATTTATTTTTGTTTGATTTGGTGTCTGAAAAATGAGCTGTTTCAAAAACCTCCTGATTGTAAGATCCCAGCTCGTTACCCAGCAACTGAGTTCTGATTGGACAGCTGGTTTTAGGCGCTATACAATGGCTGCTGGAAAATACAAGTTTTTTATTGTAGACTTACCATCCAGAAACCACTTGCTGCATGCTTGTTGGTTGTGCACGAGACTCCACTTCTGCTTTTCAAGGACGTATAGTTAAAAGTTAAATGTTAACCAGCCACTTATTAGGATTTAAAGAGACAAGGTGCCTTAAAGCAGATCAAAATGCAGAACTGAGCAGGTTAAAATCTCATTATCTAAGAATGATTTTGTGCAAAAAAATTTAATGAACATTTTTAAACAAATTATTTAGGATGGTGAAAACGTCTTCAAGTAGAGTGTGTCTCCCTGTTAGGTGATGTCAGGCACAGACTGGGGCAACCTGTTGCTGTGGGAGGGCAACACCATCCGGGTGGAGATCACGCGTATGGAGGGGCGGAGCTGCCACGTCGGGGTGGTCCAGCCCTTCACCCTGGAGGACGGGCAGCTGATGACGATCGGTGCGGACGGAGCCGTGCGGGTAAACAGGGCGTGGAGGTAAACCCGGTCAGGGGGCGATCAGACGGCTGACGCTGCGTCTCTGACTGCAGAGCTGGGACTTTGAGAAGATCAACATGGCCACCATGAGCGACAGCAGCAGCCACTGGTTCGAGTTGGAGCCCATCAACGAGCTGCTGGTCGGCTACAACGTCTGCCTGACCTCCGTGGTCCGGACCTACGTGCCCGACTCCTTCATGTGGTTCGCTCAGGTCAGACCGCACCGCCATGGCAACCAGGGTAACCATGGCAACACTCAGGTCCACTCAGTCCTCAATGTCTCTGTTGCTTCACAGGATTCAAACGGAAGCATCTGGAAACTGGACCTGTCCTTCACCAACACCGTGAGTCCATCTATCCGTCCGTCCGTCCATTTGCCTAATGCGCTAAAAGGAGTGCTAACTTTATATTTAGCCTTTTGCTAACTTTAAAAACGTTTAGCGTTCTTAGTTTTCCCTAAACATATTTAAATTTTAAAGCGCTAATTTTGTTGGCTGTTTTGTGAAACTTCCATTTGAATAACGTTCAATGTCTGTGTTAAAGTTTTGCTTATCAACTGTTAAGAATTCTTCAAGTATTTAGATGTTTATATCCATGCTCTTATTTTGAAGGAGCTGAAGTTGGTTGTCCTGTACTCAGAAAGCATCGATGCAGAACGGAAACATTTTAAAATCTCCTGATGTCCTGCTTGTTTTCAAGCCCCACAGCAAAACTCAACAACTATGAAACTGAAACTATAAGAATTTAAAGTTTTAGCATTAGCTTCCACTAATACCACATTCGTATAGCGCATTAGCGTTAGCAGAACTAATGATTATGATTAGCGCTTTAGGGTTAGCGTAGGTAACATTTTAGTCCCAACTAGTCCATCCAGTCATTTTCTTCCATTTAAATTAAATCCATGTTTAAATATCTGCTATAAAAACCTTTTTGAACTTTTATTTTAATTCCTCAGCTATTACTTTGATCAAAACTTGAATCCTGACAGTCTGTTTTTGTTTAGGCTGCTGATCCAGAGTGTCTGTTCTCCTTCCATGCCGGAGCGATCCAGGGCATGGACGTGTCCACAAAGTCCCACCTGATGGCCACCACCACTCTGGACCGTGAGCCCAACGTCGCTTCGCACCGAATGTCAACGTAAAAAACACACAAAAACTGTCAAACAGAAGCTTTAGCTGCTTGTTTCTGTTCTGTTCAGGTTCAGTCAGAGTGTTTGACTTCGTGGCTAATAAAGAAGTTGGAATGAGCCACTTCAATCAGGGGGGAACCATGGTCTGCTGGGCTCCTCTGCTGGTGAGAGTTATCATGTTTTTAGCTATGGGTGATATGGGCAGTGGCTCAGGGCAGCATCAGAAAGGGGGGAGTAAATATCACAGTTAGTGAGACTGAAGGGTTTTGTCTAGTCAGGTGCTCAGCAGCACAGGAGCACCACAGGGATCTGTTCTCTCACCATTCATTTGTTCACTTCAGACTTCCTGCACAAGTCAGACTCAGATGACTCAGCAGTCGTCGGGTAGATTAGAGATGGACAATAATATAGAGAACAATCAAATTATCACTGCAAAAAACCAAACAAAATCTTAGGAAGTATTTTTAACCTAGTTTATAGTATTAATATTTAAAATAAGACATTAAGTATCTATACTTTTCAGCAAGACATAGGAACTTGTTTGAAGCCAACAATAATTTAAATGGATAGTTTTTTTAAAGTACTGGTTTCACTGGCATATTTGTCTAATTTATAACAAGACATTTTCCCGTGGTATAAGTGAAATAATCTGCCAATAAAACTAGAACTTAAAAAAAAAATCCACATTAAAGAATTATGGGTCTAAAATAAGCTGCATATCATTCTGAAACTTTATTTGCAAGTTAGTTTTGTTTTAGTTCAAGTTTTCTAAGATATTTACACTAGAAACTGGACAAAAACATACTTTATAAGATTTAGTGATGTTGCAGTGTATAGACAACTTTCTCTATGAGTGTCTTCAGTCAGAGGGTTCTTCAGATCCCCTGTATACAGACTGCTACAGGAGCCATCAGCATCAACAGCCCTTAACTTGAATAACACAAGTTAAAATAAATTTAATTTCCATGTTTCCATTTTTTTTAATTTTAATAAATATTTCACTCATATTTTATTAGATACCTGAACAGTATTTTAGGGGGTCAGCAGAAGGAGGGGCCCGCCCGGGGCCCCATTAATGCTAGAACCGCCAGAGAAGCGACTCCCTCAGTAACTGGTTCTGTTTTCTGCCAGGTCAACCAGAGCGGTGGGTTGCTGGTGGCGGGTTTCGAGGACGGAGTGGTGCGTCTGCTGGAGCTGTTCAACCCTCAGGAGCTGCAGGACGTGACGAAGAGCTGGGGCCCCATGATGGACGTCGAGCTGCGCCTCAACCAGGCCTTCAAGCCCCACAACGCCCCCGTCACCGCCGTGGCGTACGACCGGAACGGAGAGATCCTGGCCACAGGGGTGAGTCGGTCCAGACGGAGCCAAACGTGGCGCCTGATGGGTCAGCAGCTCCACTTCAGGGCCAAATGGAGCGATTTGATTAAAAATAATGATGAGGGCCATTAAAAATAATCTGGTCAGTTTAATGCAGAAACTGAAAATACAGCTCAAAAGCATTAAACCCCCCTGAGCTTAGCAATTATAATCACAAGCTTTTATTTATTTTATCTGTATTTTGGGTGGTTTACCAACAGAAGACAGAAAGCCAGAGCTGCTCTCCTTCAGAGCATCCTAATGATCTTCATTAGGATATTATGAATGTTAAGACTAGTTATAACGCTGGATAAACAGTTTTCCTGTAACTGTAAGTTGTTTCTCCCCCATTAACACATTTAGCAGCACAAACATGAGGTGANTGACAGNACTAAGNCCCGNCTACGGGCTCTGATTGGTTGTTTTTGGTGCAATAGCAACACAGGGAGGAGATCATCTGTCTCATGACAAACTGTCAAGACAATTAAACATGGTGACAGTTTTAACAAGTATATATGAAAAAATATATTTTTTATAAAGGTTTTATTGCAGCTTTAAATCAGACTGAACAGGACAGGTGCGAATCCATCCAGGTAACAACAATCACTTTGTGAACCATTTAGGTTCCTGACTGTCGGGTCTCATAAATCTGTTTTCAGGTCTCTGTGTTGGATGAATGAAGAAATATGTTTACAGAGACAGTTTTAATGTGTTTAAATCTCCTCCTTCCTGTTCAGAGTTTAGACTGCACCGTTTTCTTCTTCACGGTCGGTGAGAAGTACAGCCCCATCGGCTTCATCCCGGTGCCCGGTCCAGTCAAATCCCTGGAGTGGTCTCCTGACTTCCACGTAGGTCTCAGCTGCTCCGCTGTGGCAGCTGGACGCTCCTGCTGACCAAAGCTTCTGTTTCAGAGCGAGAACCGGCTGCTCATCCTGTGCCAGACCGGCCACGCCGTGGAGGTTCCCTGCCCCGAGATGGAGGACCACGAGTTGACCAAAACCTTCCAGCTCCAGAACGTGTCCAGGAGAACCTTCAGGTTCAAGAGCATCAAGTCCAAAATCAAGGTGTGGAAACCAAAAGTTTGCTGCTGCGATCCACCGCAGGGAGGTTCTGATCCACCACGGGGAGGTTCTGATCCACCACAGGGAGGTTCTGATCCACCACGGGGAGGTTCTGATCCACCATGGGGAGGTTCTGATCCACCGTGGGGAGGTTCTGATCCACCGCGGGGCGGTTCTGATCCACCGCGGGGCGGTTCTGATCCACCACAGGGAGGTTCTGATCCACCGTGGGACGGTTCTGATCCGACTCTGTTTTCAGAGAGACGAGGAGATAAGAAGACGGCAGGCGGTGAAGGACAAGAAGAGGAAAGAGCGAGAAGAGAAGATTAAAGAGCTGAAGAAGGCGGGTCTGATGGTTCCTGATGAAGAGGAGGAGGAGGAAGAGGAGGAAGAGCTGCCTCCCATCATCATCCCAAGCCCTCCCAGTCCCCTCTGCTGCGGCTTCTACTCCCAGCCGGGACAGTTCTGGCTCTCAATGGTACAAACGGATCAAAACGATTCATATTCTAATTATTCTGGATTAAATCAGCAACAAGTTTAATCTGCAGTTCATAAATCAGACTGATGATGCATCAGCGACGGTAAAATGCTAAAAACTCAGGGTGTCTGCACGTCCTTAAAAGTCTTAAATTTGCATCTAAAATTAAGGCCTTAAAATGTCTTAAATTCATTAAAAATGTAAGTTGATATTAAATATATTTAAAATGTTTTTGTAGCAGGATTATTCACTGTTGTGTTTTGCTCACATGACTTTTCTGTCAGGAACATTTAATTCAAGGTGGCATTAGAAAGTTTTAAAAAGTCGTAACTTGACTCGCTGAAACCTGAACCATCTGATTGGTCCTGCAGGGAGGCTTCGACGCTGGTTTCCTGTACCACTGCAAACTGTCAGCGGATCAGGAAGAGGATGATGACGCCGCGCAGCGACAGGACGAACCCTTCGCCTTCCTTCAAGTCAACGACGCCGACGACGACCCGATCTGCTCCATGACCTTCAGGTCAGGCTTTACAGCACCACTGATCAACATTTATTAAAGGGAATGTGGGACGCAAAATTCACATTATGCACATTTTTATGCTTCCATCTGGGTTTCTACACACAGCTGTTTTTTGTTTTATACATTTTTTAGTGTCTCTGTTTCCTTTTACCATATATTTGTGCAAATTGGAATTATGAAAGTCAATCTGCTTTATGGAAACGCGCCCTTTCCTAATAAACACGTTTTTTCAGTAACACGTTTTGGCGGTCGGATCCGGTGGTTTTTCAGCTGTATTGAAATTGTTGTATTTCAAAAAACTGAATCACAAGTCACATGATCAACAACTAGATGTTTCTACTGGCAGAAAGGATGAAGAAGACGACAGGAAGTGGAAAGAAGACGACAGGAAGTGGAAAGAGGATGATGGCGATGACATATTGTGTAAACAAACTTATTCACGTGTGGCTTTAACTGGAAACGCCACAATTGCGAAATTGTGTGTTTTTGACATTAGCTTCTGCTAGTGTCTTCTTCAGAGGGGTTTGTGTTGTTTCCTTCAGCGCCCCCACAGGCCAGGAGGGGTTTGACTCAGAGCAGCGAGAAGGAACCACAGCAGCTGGAGATGGGACAGATGTTGAAGTTTTTATCTCAAATCGAACCAAGTCTACCGGACTACCAGTCGGAAAAACAAATGAAATGTTTCTCTGTTCTGCAGAAGCGTTTTCTTCTGGATTATTCAGAGCTGCAGATGTTTCCAGAACCTCAACTCTGACAATTAAAAACATGTTTTTGTCCTAAATAAAACATTTAAATACCTTCATTACACTCCTACAGCCTCCATACAGGGTCCATGGTGATGTTTTCCTGCACTGCTCTGGTGTTTCTGATGATATTCCCTCATGTTTACCAGCTCTGACAGGAAGCTGCTGCTCTGCGGCATGCAGTCCGGCGCCATCAGGGTCTACTTTCTGCAGCCTGAAGACTACAACCTCACCTCTATGAAGGCTTACTGGGCTCTGAGCGTCCATGACAACCACTTCGGACAGCTGCGACACCTGCGCTGCAGCTTCGACGACCTGTTTGTGCTGACGGCCGGAGACGACGGAAACATCTTCTCCTTCCGCCTGCTTCCACCCGAAGAGCTGCAGAAAACCCTGGACAAAGTGGCCAGGATTCCTTCACCTCGGGTCGGTTCAGTTCCTTCATGATGTTCTTACAAAGTGAAGCATTTACTAATACTGTGGTCTCCATCTGATGAATGAACATGTAGCCATGAAATAAAGGACGTCAACATGAAAGGTGCTGCTCTTTTTCCTCTAAAATGTAGGCGGGTTTGGAAACCGAGCCGTTTGCTCTGGACATCGAAGACCCAGGAGCTTACAGGTGAGTTTAAATTAACCTGTTTATCTTTTTTTGTTTTTTTCTTGGGATGGTTGAGTAGATCATTGTTTTTCTGAATAGTTTTTTAGCTATCAGCTTCCAGTGTTGGAGCTTTTCACTAAAATGTTAGCTTTGCTATCCATAAACATTAGTTCAGGTGATGCTAAAACACAATATGGTATTTAGTGGAAGCTAATGCTGAAGCATTTTACCATCATTCTAATTAGCAGAAGCTAATGCTAAAGTGCTATAGCAATATGGTATTTAGTGGAAGCTAACATGGTAAATTCAACCATTTTGACACCCACCATGAGTCTGTGACACAGCATGCCTAGGTGGGCCCCATGTGGGCAAAAGGAGGGCAGACCAGATGGGTCCCATATGGGTTTGGCCTTATATGGACAAACCCATATGGGACCCATATATCAGCCCTCCTTTCCCCCACATGGGGCCCACCTAGCATGCTGGCAGGGATGTGCTGCAGCGTAACGTATCGCCTTCAACAGGATTAAACGTTATTTAACACTTCCATGTGCAGCTTCTGCTTCAGGAAGTGATTTTTTTTAACAAACTTTTCACTCATGCTTTCAGTTTTACAGTTGCTGGGTTTTGCTAATGTTGCTGCTGATTTTGCACACAGAACATTCCTTTATTAAGAAATAATAATTGGCTATAACGTCACACTTACTGTTCCTATTTTATTCCCTCTGAAGTTTAAAGATGTAAACTTAATGTCTGTGCGGTGAGTGCTTGAAAAAATGCTGGTTTGTGTCACGTTTGCTAATAAAGCTTATTCTGATTTAAAACAAATGTGAAATTACCAAATTTATTACACGTTTTAGTTGAAAATACCTTCTAAAAGGATACTAATGATGGAGAATGGTAACTGTATAGCATATTACTGTAGCTTTATTGCTCACATATTAACCCTCTAACTACAGAGCAGCAGCTGGAGGCGCTGCTGTTTTCTGTGTCGTTTATTTACATTTTCTTGATTTCTGAGTTTTAAACCCTGAAGAAGCTCTGGTAGCTGTTTGTCTCTGAGCCAACCTCCACCTTCACTCCGCCCAGCATCGAGACGGCCAAGCAGAAGACGGAGAAAGACAACCTACGCCGGGAGGCCGAGCAGAAGGAAGCAGAGATGCTGAAAGAGCTGCTGGAGCTTCAGAAGAGATTCAAACAGGTCCAGAGCGACAACGAAAGTCTGATCGAGCACGTCCAGCTGAAGCCACAGGTACTGGAACCAACAGCAGAATTCAGCTGCAGTACCACCCTTCAACACAAAGAGGGCAGCACTGAGACGGCTTCAGGCCAGATATCACAGAACTAAACAAATGTACACAAAAATGTCACAATTATCACAGAAATATAAAGATAGCACCTTTAAGGACCAATTTAGATTTTATTTTGGGCTTAGTGTGGTGTGCCTGAATACAAATGCACACCACACTTTTCAGATTTGAATTTGTTCATCTGTCTGCAGCCATTTTTATTTGTGAGTTGGGGGGCGTCGCTCTAAAACAGTTCATTCTGACCTTAACAGACTAAAATATCATTATCTAAAAATAAATTTGTGCAAAATGAAAATTAATCTGCATGTTTTGACTAAGCCGTAGACTTATCCTGATCTGTTCAAGAAAGAATAGTGGGTCAGCTTTAAACCTGTTTCCACGGCGCTGTTATTGATTTACATGAGATTCCCTGGGTTTATGTTTGTCCAGGAACTGGTGGTGGACCAGCTGTTCTACGAAGAAGCAGAGAAGCAGAAAGCGCTGAGGATGATGGAGGTCCGGAAGCAGATGGCCTGGGAGCAGGAGCACAGCACCATCGCACTGAAGAAGCTGAAGGATTGGTGCGCAAACAGAACCAGCACCATCCTGGAAAAATCACTGGGAAACAAACAACTTTGGTTTTGTTAAAGAGTCCAGATTGTGTTCACACCGGCTCAGTTCGGTTTGCTTTAATCCGACTCCAGTTCATTTGTCAAGAAAGTCCGGCTCGTTTTGTGGGGTGTGATTTCGTAATCAGTCTCTGGTCTGGGTTCAGTTGAAGTGAATTCTTGGTGTGGTTTAATGTACATGTGAACACCAAGCGGACCGGAGACCGCTCCAAAACCAGGAAGTGGAAACGGAGCAGGGCATTCTGGGTAAATACAACCAAAACAAACACACTAACCTAGTGGGAGAAATAGCTTGAGAAACAGCTGCTAAAATCTGACACCACTCCATTTGTTTCCATTTCAAGAAGAAGGAAGTCGTGCTCATTGTTTTTTTCAGAGGTTTTTGTGTCGTTTCCTTCAGTGTTTTATGGAGCAGCGCCCCCACCGGGCGAGGAGGGGAACAGGTTGCTCAAAGGTTTTGGTTGGTTTGACTCTGTGCAAAGGGAATGTGAACTACAGCAACGGAGAATGTAACAAATGTTGCCATCTTAGTCCCCAATCAGTTTGAAAACACATTTAGATCACACATAAAAACACTTGATGACTGAAGCTCTGTGTGTTTCAGGTCTGACAGCTCCATTCAGGTCGACCTCATCACTGTCTCAGCGATACGCAGCAACCACAGAGTCTCCAAGTACCCTCTCTCAGCGTTCCCAAAGCCTTTAACTCCAGACGAACCTCAGGTGGACCGCAGGGTCAGCGTAGCCGTAGAAGGCATGACGGACCGGAGGAGGCTCAGATCGGAGCCGTCCAGAGACGTCCGTCCAGCAGAGGGTCGGTATCGTCAGGCTGAAGGTTATATCTCCACGTTTCAGCCTGCAGTAATGCTCTCTCTCCCTGTAGAGAAGCCGATACCGCGGCCCTCCACGACCGTCAAAGCCAAGGTCAAACTGGGAGACCGGGAGGAGGAGAAGCTCCGGAAGGCTGCAGAGAGAGCAGGGGAAGCTCGAGCCAAAATACAAAGGAGGAAGGAGCAGTGGGCCCTGATGTGAGTCAAAATTCAGGTTTCTGCTTCTGTCTGTTTACTGCAGAGCTGCAAGAACCAACTTTAAAGGGCCAGTGTTATGTAAAATCCTCTTTTTCAGCTTCCCATCCTGTCCTAATGTCATTTCCTCATCAATAACATTTGATTCTTTTATGCATGTTTGAGAAATCCTTAAATCTCCATGACACCCATTCACATCGTCCCACCTTCAAGGCTCACCTCCTCCTCCAGCTCCTTCAGACTAGCCAGCAGCAATTAGCAGACACCTGCTGAGCTCATTACAGGAGCTGCTGCTCAGAGCAACGGTGGTAGAAACGTTGTTTAAGGGTTGAAGAGGAGCCATGTTGTGATGACTTCCTGGAGGCGGAGCTTCAGAAAGAGCAGGAGCTTCTTAAAGTGACAGAGGCCCAGTTTCAAGGCATTAAATTACAAAGTCAAAATTTTTTCAGTCATATTTGATATATACAGCATTTTTATAGCAACTGTAGGTAACATCAAATATGCTTACAAAATGGCACTTTGTGCCAAATGCTGCCCCTTTTAATCACTGTATTTATAATTGTTTTATTGATAAAAATCTGCTTTTTGGTGTCTCAGTTACGCTGACAAGCCGGAGGAGAACTACATGGACCCAGTGCAGGTTCAGGCCATTCAGGAGGAGAAAGACGACATCAGGGACTTCATCAGGGGGAAGCAGCTGAGGGTGAACGCCGAGCAGAAGAAGAAAGAGCTGGTGGCTCTGAACGAAAACGTACAAAAACACTCAAACTTCATCTTTACGCACCGTAACACGCCTTATGAGCCAAAACATGGTTTCATTGGTGCCAGAAACAGCTTCATCGTCACATTTTACTACTTACTAGACTTAAATAGTAAAACATGAATCATTAGGTTGTTTAAATTTTTACTATTATTTGTGATAATTTTATTATTAGACATAATTTTTAATTACTTAAAATATTAAGTAATTAATTGATTAAATGTTTTAAATAAAAAATAATTCAGTTTTATTTTAAATAAAAATATTATATATTAAAATATAATTTTGTCTCCAAAATAAGGTTCTGGAAAAGTTTGAAAACTTAGAAAAGTGCCTGAATTTCACTGAGAGAAAAGTTTACGAGCCTTTATTTTTAGCTTATAAGTTTATTTCTGATTGGAAATGAGCTGCACATTTCTCACAAATTCACATCTTCTTTTTAAAAAACTAATTTTGCTTTTATATATGTGTCAAAAATAATTTATTCTCTTCTCATTAATCAAAATTTAAAAAATCTAACCTCTTATAATTACTAAATGGCTTTTTTTATGTTTCCTCTGGTATTTTGAAAAATTGTTTTGCTGAAATTTCTTGAGATCCCAATAAGTTTTTTACAATAAGGTTTGTTTTTTTCAATATTTTATTGTTAGATAAATGTTTTATTTTTATTCTTAACATTAATTTGAGCTCTTTATTTGAGTCTGAGCTTTTATTCCCCAGATCTATGAGACGCAGAATGAGAGGAACGAGCAGATCGTGTCGGTGCGAGACATCAAGGTCCAGCTGGTGTCGTGGATGGACGCTCAGGTCCGGCGGCTCCACCACGTCCATCCTGCTCTGCCTGCCGACCTGCGCAAGCCGTCTCCCCCCCCCACCTCCATGCTGCCCGAAGAAATGCCGGAGAAGAAGCTGCAGGTCTGCCAGGCCACGCTGCAGCGATACCGCACCCTGAGGCAGGAAAGGTACGCAGCAGGGCTGGATCTAAAGGGGGACCAGAGGGGACAGTGAAAATAAAAAATATTTATAGGTGACCTATTATGTTTCCTTGAGCAGGTTAGGATAAGTCTTTGGCCTAAACACAACATGTTCATTACATTTTCTGCACAAAATTATTCTTAGACAATGAGATTTGAGTTCTTTTAGGGGATTGTGTCACTTTAAATCCAAATAAACTCTATGCTTACAATCACACATGAAAATGGCTTCAAACAGATGCGCAATTATAAAACTGTACATCTTTGAAAAGTAGGAGTGGAGCCTCCTGCACAACCAACAAAAATGCAGCAAGTAGTTTCTTGATGGAAAGTCAACAAAAGAACACTTGTCTTTTCCAGCAGCCATTGTAAAGCATATACAGCGGTAAAACCAGCTGACAAAACATGCTGGAACCAAACTTGGGTTGCTAGGTAACGGGCTGGGGTCTTAAAATCAGGAGGTTTTTCATAGGACTCATTTTCCAGACACCAAAAAACGTTAAAATATTGCTAGAAAACGGCTGGGTGGGATTTTTTTAAGTGCTTGGATTGTTTTTAGGATCAGCTGAGATGCAAATGGAAGCATAAAAACATGCAAAATGTGAATCATTCATAGCAGGTTCCCTCTAAAGTCTTTAGCACAAAGTAGGATGTTCATATTTCCAGTCTGGAGAATATAAAATATGGCAACTAAGTAAATTAGTGTCAGTGGTGAGCACTGCTAACTAAAACGGTAGTGGTGCCAAAGCACTAGTCATAAATATTAGCACTGCTAAAGCTAAAGCTAAAGCGCTACACCAGAGTTCTGCAACCAAACAGACATTTTTGCTCTCAGTCCAGCTAAATAACGTCAATTAGCAGAAGCTTTGGGTCTTAAATGTATCCATTATGTGTTTGGTTTTTGTTGTTTTCTCTGCTTATCTAATTGATTATTTTTTAGATGAATATCTCTGTTTCTACCTGTAATGTTTGTTTTTATGCACTAATTGGTGAACAAAATATATCAAATATACAATTAAAATGCAGTAATAAATGTGTATCTCCCTCCCAAAGCAGATTTATTTCAAACTGAAGGAGAATCCTCTTTCTCAGATTGTATTTGAAACAATCTCCTCGGTTTATTTATGTTTCTCCTCTCAAACAGAATGAAGGCCTTACATCTGGAGGAGGACGACGACTCTGTGGGTTTACTGGAGCAGCTGGAGAAAGACATGAAGCTGGAGGAGGAGAAAGAAAGGGAGAAGGAAGAGCAGGAGTGCTACCTGGCTCCAGCAGAGGTCTCTGATGACGAGGATGAGGAGAGTCAGCGGAAGGAGGAGATCCGGCTGCTGCATGAGCAGGACTGTCTGCTCCACCAGGTCCGTCTTTAATGCCTGAGTGGAGAACAGAGCCGGACGTTTGACTTCTGTGTGTTTCCCTGCAGATGGAGAGCTCAGTCTGCCAGTTCGACAAGAAGCTGCTGCAGCTGCACTTCAACAAGCAGCAGCTGGACAGCCAGCTGAAGCTGGCCGACCTGCGGCTGCTGACGCTGGTGCAGGAGATGCTGCTGCTCAAGCAGTTCGACAAGAGGGAGGGCGTTCTGCAGGACAAGCTGGACGGCTTCATGCTGGAGGAGATGAACATGATGGTGAAGAAAACACAACCAGGCTGGTTTAAAAATAATGAAAACTGAAAAATATCAAGTTTTCATAGCTTAAAACTGTTAATACATGAAAGCTGCACATCTTAGCCCCATCATTTTAGTTTTAATGACATTCCACTAATTATTTTTGTTATGTTTGTTTTCATTAAACTAACTGAGTTAGTAAGATTAATTTAAAAAATGTGAATATGTGGTAATTACCTAAACACCCAAAGTTTATTTTCTTAACTAGAAAAAGAAAAAAACTTTATTGAAACTGTTTTTCTGGCTCCTGCTTTTTATTTGTTTCTCTGCTCAAAAGTCACATTAACGCATCAGCTGACATATTTAAACCAAGTGAACTTAATTAACCCATTATCACTACTTCAACCAGAAAATCAAACAGTAACTGATTAACTAATGACCCAATTAACTCGATCAATAACTAATAAACTCACCTGGTAAATTATTCACACTAAGAAAGTAATTTATTAGCTCACTCACCAACCTACTAACTTACCCACAAACATCTCAACCAACTAATTTACAGTTTCTCTCGCTAACTAAATAACTTCTAATTAACTAAAAAACTAACTTAATCCATTAACACTCATCTTAACTAATTACTAACCTGTCGGCCAAAATGCTCAGAAAAGTTCCTATTAAATCATTTTTACACTAATCCTATAAATAATAACACAGTAATTCACTTACTAAATAATTAAAACAGATTATAACTAACTGACTGACTAACTAACTAACAGCTTACCCTTCAAATTAGGTGACTCACTAAATAATTATAATAAATTTACTCTAACTTCTCCCCAACTCATTACTAACTGCTTTCCTGGCTTTAACTCTCTTACTCAATTATTTTAAGTTAATTTACTCAATATTATAATTTATACTAACTAACTACCTCGATAACTGACTAACTCACTTAATATAATTTCACTAATTAACCCATTATTCTAATAAACCTCAGTATAAATGACTAACTCATCGACCGGCTCAAACTACCCTAACATGTTATTTTTCTACTGAATTAACTCACATTAACCCTTAAAGCACCGACTCTCCCTCCCAGGTGAGTTGGTTACCTGAAGCAGAGAGATGTTCAGTGTCTGCCTCTGTTTCTGCTGCTCCAGTTGAAGCTGGACGAATACAGCGACGCTCTGGAGATGAAGAGGGAAAACATCGCCAGGCTGCAGGAGAGGGAGAAGGCGCTGGCCGCCACCTTCAAGGCGTCGCTCGGGGAGAACAACCTGTTCCAGGACTTCCTCACCAAAGTCTTCAAGAAGAAGGTGAAGCGGGTGAAGAAGAAGGAGACGACCGGAGAGGAAGGTGACGGGAACGGCGGAGCTGCTGGATTCACTTTGGTCAGGCGTCCATCTTAACCCCGGTTTGTTTGCAGGACAAGAGAAAGACAGCGACGAGAGCTCCGAGTCTGAGAGCGAGTCTGACGAAGACTACAGCAGCGAGTCTGAGGAGGAAGGACCTCCTTTCGACGACACCGTTTGTCCCCCCGGTCAGCAGCAAAACGACCTCTGACCTTTCTCTACTCTGACCATTTCTCATATCAAATCAGATTTATGATTTTAACCGATTTATTTTTCTTCTCGCTTTCTTTTCTGAAAAAGAAAAAGAAATGACACAAAATATCTCCAACAAGTGGCTTTTAGTTCAGTCATTCCTGCTGTGAGTTGTATGACGGAGAATATCGTCATAATATTAACTGAATTAGGACAAAATCAGAAGAAAGTCTTAAAATAAAAGGGGACGTATTGTGAAAATTCATATTTTGCATGTTTTTTACTTTCATTTGGTCATAACTGCTTCTAAAACCACACTGATTTGTTTTTGGCAATAAATTAATGTTTCTGTGTGTCTGGAAAACGAGCCGTTTCAAAATCCTCCAGAATGTAAAGTCACATTCAGCGGGAAAAACCATTTCTGCCAAAAGAAATCACTCATTTTCAGGTTTGTCCATGAAATGTTATATAAAAAACATGCATTTTCTGATATCCGAGATAAAAATAATTTGACTTTTCAAACTCGGAAATTTACTTTTTTCAACAATTTTCTTGTTTCCTCAGTTTTTTGGCAGGAATTTACTTTTTTATGTAAAACCTGTCAATAAAAGTCAAAACCTTTCTGCTGTTAGTTCTGGTTTTTCTTGAAAATTTCTGAGATTGGTCCAAACGTTTGAGTTCATTCGAGCAGATTTTCCATTTTTGGAGCTCAGAAACTTTCTAGTTTTAGCAGAAATGTCCTCCTCCGTTTTTATTTTTATATCTAAAATACTAACTTGCTGTCATACATATGACTTTTATATAATAAACACAAGGTTTGCCTGGCTCTAATACTTAATCGTAGCATTAAGCTGAATTCAAAGTCCAAATAAATATAAGCTGTCAAACAAGATGGCCGCCCTGACATCACCATGAACCCAAGGAGCTAATCAGTGGAAAATAAATCCAGATTTTCCAAACCTCAGCTCCTCAAACCTTTCATTTTCCACCCTGACCTGTCGTGTCCCTGTTTGCCTCAGGCTGCGACCAGGAGCTGTTTGAAAGCACGCTGGAGCTGCGGGAGCATCGGCTGGATGTGGAGGATCTGCTGACGGAGGAGAAGAGGGTCATCGAGTCTCTGAGGAAGGAGAACGACCTGGTCACCAAGAAGGTCAGCGCTGGCCGCCTTCAGCTCTGCTGCGTCTCTGCGACGCTCTGCTGATGGTCTTGGTTTCTGTACCTGCAGACCAAAGTGGTGAAGAACAGCCGGAAGGCGCTGGAGGACGACATGGAGCTCATCAACAAGGAGAAGCAGATGAAAATGAACGAACTGGACGTGGTGGTTCCTCTCCGGCTGCATCAGGTGCAGAAAAGCTTCATCAAGAAAACATGACATTATGACTGTTTCATCAAGAGTCACTGTTTTATAAATCTCTATTTGAAAAATGTGTTAAAAACCAAGTCATCTTTTTTCTTTCTCTTCATATTTAAACACTGATGTGACAAAAAGTAGACAGATAAAATCATCCAATCAAAAGAAAACTGGTTCTTTTTTTAAAATACAGTAGAAAAAAAAAATTATTAGTTAACAATGGAAGCAAAGCAGCAATAAAATATAAATAGATTCAGGCCGGGACACATTCATTATGATTAATTAATTACAAAGATATTAATGCGTTAAAAATTGTAACTCTTTTAATGGCTTTTTTCACATACCAAAGTTTCAAGCACAATCTTTATATGATGTTTCTGGTAGGCTGATAAATCTGACACACAAAAACATCTGCTGACAACAGCGATGGATGATGGAGCCGCTTCTCTTGGCTATGTTTAGCATTAGCTAAAGCTTTAGCATTAACTTTAGCTAACTAGCATGTTGTTGTAGCGCTTCTGCTTTAGCAAAGCTAATGATTAAGTTTAGTGCTTTAATTCGGCATGGTAAATTTTTAGTTATCTGTGACCATTTCTTAATCTTTTTCTTTGTCCATTTTCTCTATTTTATTTCTGTACTTGTTTCTAATCTTCCTAACCAGATAGCGTATCTCGTCAACGACTCGATGCCCTCTGACCTGAGCGAGGCGCTGATGCTGTACCGCACCGAGCTGCACAAGCTGCAGCAGCGCTTCCACCAGCTGGAGGCGGAGAAGGTGGAGCAGAGGAACCTGCACCGTGTGGCTCGCCAGCAGAGGAACAAGCTGATCAATGAGGACAGGGACAAGAACGCCAAGATCCAAGGTGAACTATTAGCGCTCAGGAAGCAGAAACATGTTTACTGTCGGTCTGAACGGCGTGTCGATGCAGAGCTGGAGAGGGATTTCAACCAGCTGCAGATGACCAAGTTCGGCCGGCTGGTGGATCTGGAGGCTCTGCAGATGATGACGGGCAGCAGGAAGCTGGAGGAGCTGAAGCAGGAGAAGCTGCACATAGAATCAGTTCAAGCCAAGGAGGTGAAAGAATGGGAGGCAAGTTCTCCAGAAATAAAAACCTCTCTCTGTCATTTAGGAACTGAAACTGCTAAGACAACCTCTGCTAACGTTTGCTGTAAAATCCAGGCCAAGATGGAGGAGAGGCTGGAGGCTTTGACGGCAGAGATGAAGAACAACAACGAGAGTCTCTTCAATATGACGAGTCTGTGGGAGCAGAAGAAAGGGCTGGAGCCCAAACTCAACGCCAGGCAGAAGAAAATAGTCAGTCACACAGATTACATTAAAAAATGTTTCCAGAAACGATTTTTAATCCACATTCGGAAACAGTCGATGAAAAAGGCAAAAATCTAAATAAGTTCCTCCATCTTGCAAAACAGTTTCCACACTAGCTTGACATGGTTTTTGGCTAACTGGGCGATGGACACATGAGGTGAATCATTTCTGCCTTACCAGAGGCACAAAACTATGAAAAATTTCAGTCACTCAAGGTTTGCATGACAATAGGATGGAAACATGGCTACTGTGGGCAAGTGCAAGGTAACAGCTGACCATATTAGCTGTGTTTCTCTTCACAGTTTTTTTCTACATATTTTGAAGTAGTGCATTAGAAAAGGTTGATTCAAACTTTAAAAAATCTAAATAACTTCCTCAGTTTTTACCTAAGCTTGATGTAGATTTTGGCTTTTCTGTAAAATAATTTCTCACGTAACGGGTCTGCACCTTACCAGAGGCATGAAACTCAAAACTCAAAAAAGACACATTTGCCAAACAAGATGGCCGCCATAGGCGTGCCAACATCACACTGATGTGGAAACCCAAAGATTGCATTGCTGAAAAAATATCCAGATTTTCCTTAAATTGAATCTTCACAGACAAAAAAATATTATTTGATAAATTGATCATCTGCGACCAAAATGACAATTTTATGCTTTGATTTGGTTTTTCTTTACCTTTTAACGTAGCAGTAGGTTTGAGATAAACCCAGGAAGGTGCTGGATCGGCTCCCAACATCCGGTTTGTGTTCCTGCAGGGCAGACAGCAGTTCCAGGACCACCGGAGACGGATGGACCAGGACGCCATCCAGCAGTGCAAGCAGCTGATAGTGAAGCAGACGCAGCTGGCTGACGCTCTGTGGAGCGACATCACCCTCCTGTCCACCAGAGGGGGACACGTGTTGCCCTCCAGCTGCCTCCAGCTGCCTCCCACCGCCATGCTGCCCACGCCCATCGCTGACCACCAGACAGAAGTAAAAAAAAATACACCAGCAGAGGGCGCTGCTCTACCGTAAACAGCAAGATGAAGCTACAGAACAGAACAGCTGGTGCTGTTTTGTTTTCTGTCTCAATTAGAGGGATTATATATGGAGGAAGATTAGGGCCAATGTTTTAAAAAATGTAAGAATTCTGAATTTAATCTCAAAATTCAGACTTTTGATGTCAAAAGGTTAAAGTCAGAATTGTTTTCTTTTTTTCAGTGGCACTAATCCTCTTCCGTAGATACATGAACAAAATGAGACACATTTAACTTTTCTTGGGATTTAATGTTTTTTTTTCTTTTTTTCACAAAAACTGCTATAATTTTTCTAAATAGTTAAGTTATAAACATTAAAGGGTTCCCACAATTCAAGTCTTCCAGCTTCTGTTTCTGTCTGAGTTAGAGAACCAACCAGTTTTAGTCCATGTTCATATCGTACGTGAAGTTTAATGCTGGTTAGTGATGGAAAATATACTGTTTATTCTCCAAGGTAATTATAATCTTCAGGTTGCTGTGATGTAATAACTTGATGTTATAAGATTCTTTTTATTTTGAGCACTTTCTCAGTGAAACTTGAAGGGATTTTGTCAAACCTGAGGACCTCCAATCCATTTCCACATTGTTGCGTTTCATTTTTGTTGCTGGGAACACAGCGACTCCTGTTTGGCCCAAATCAACTGTACTCAGACTGTTTGGAGGCGTTAGTGTGTCGGTGCATCCTCAAAAAGTCTTAAATTCATATTAAAAATGTAAGTTATCCTTAAATACATTGTTCTTCCAGGGTTTTTCTGTCAGGAAAAAGTTTGAGTCATGTACAGACATCTTCATGAGTTCTGACTGGTAGAGGCTACTGCTAACTAGCTGCTAATATATCCTTGCTAGGTAGCTAGCGTGTCTTCCATCTGTCATTGGTGATGGGCTCAACATCATCAACATACATGTACATACATATATATATATATATATATATATATATTGAGCAGTGGCTCAAACAGATCCCAGGAACAACATCAGACATCTCAGTCCAGAAATGTGCAGTTCTAGGCACAGCCAAGATACTGCGCAGAACCCTCAAGCTCCCAGGCCTCTGGTAGAGGACCAGAGCTCAGAGGATGAAAGAGAGAGAGACCACCCACGGAGGGTGAGAGGGGAATTTTTTTATATATATATTGTGTTCCTACAGGGCAGGAACACAATGTGGGGGAAAAAAGTATTTAGTCGCCTATTGTGGAAGTTCTCCCACTTAAGAAGATGAGGCCTGTAATTGACATCACAGGTAGACCTCAACTATGAGACAAAATGAGAAGAAAAAAAATTCATAAAATCACGTAGTCTGATTTTTAAAGAATTTATTTGCAAATAAGGGTGGAAAATAAGTATTTGGTCAGTAACAAACGTTCATCTCAATACTTTTGTTTTATATATCCTTATTGACAATGACAGAGGTCAAAGGGTTTCTGCAAGTCTTCACAAGGTTGGTACACCATTGCTGGAATGTTGGCCCATTCCTCTAAAGCAGTGATGTTCTGGGCAGCACAGACTTTCAACTCCCTCCAAAGATTTTCTATGGGGTCGAGATCTAGAGACTGGCCAGGCCACTCCAGGACCTTGAAATGCTTCTTACGAAGCCACTCCTTCATTACCCAGGCGGTGTCTTTGGGATCATTGTCCTGCTGAAAGACCCAGCCATGTTTCATCCTCAATGTCCTTGCTGATGGAAGGAGGTTTGCACTCAAAATCTCACAATTCAAGGCCCCATTCATTCTTTGATGTACACGGACCAGTCGTCCTGGTCCCTTTGCAGAGAAACATCCTCAAAACATGATGTTGCCACCCCCATGCTTCACAGTTGGTATGGTGTTCTTTGGATGCAACTCAGCATTCACTCTCCTCCAAACACGACGAGTTGTGTTTATACCACACAGTTCTACTCTGGTTTCATCTCTACTTTGGTTTCGACTGACCATATGACATTTTCCCAATACTCTTCTGGAACATCCAAATGCTCTCTATCAAACTTCAAACGTGCTCGGATATGTACTGGCTTAAGCAGGGGGAACGTCTGGCACTGCAAGGTCTGAGTCCCTGGCGGCGTAGTGTGCTAATGTCGGTAGCCTTTATAACGTTGTTCTCAGCTTTCTGCAGGTCATTCACTCGGTTTGCCCCTGTGTGGTTCTGGGATTTTTGCTCACCATTCTTGTGATCATTCTGACCCCACGGGCTGAGATCTTGGTGGAGCCCCTGATGGAGGGAGACAAGTAGAGTTCTTATAGGTCTTCTATTTTCTGATTATTGCTACCACATTAGATTTCTTCACACCAAGCTGCCTGCTGATTGCAGATTCAGTCTTTCTGCTCTACAATTCTGTTTCTGGTTTCCTTCAACAGCTCTTTGGTCTTTACCATAGTGGAACTTGGGGTGTGACTGTTTGAGGTTGTGGGCAGGTGTGTTTTATACTGTTAATGAGTTCAAACAGGTGCCATTAATACAGATAATGAGTGGAGGAAAGAGGAGTTACAGGTCTGTGACAGCAAGAAATCTTGCTTGTTTGTAGTTGACTAAATACTTATTTTCCACCCTTATTTGCAAATAAATTATTTAAAAATCAGACCAATATGATTTTCTGATATTTTTTTCTCATTTTGTGTCTCATAGTTGAGGTCTACCTATGATATCAATTACAGGAGTGGTCCCCAACCCGGGTCCTCAGGGACTGCTGTACTGCATGTTTTTGATGAGTCTGAACTCCAGCACATTTAACCCTGGTGTGCAGCAGCAGGGAAACATCTAAAGCAGGAATGGGCAATCCTGGTCCTCGAGGGCCGGTGCCCTGCAACTCTTTGATGTCTCCCTGGTCCAACACACTTGAATCCAATAACTGAATCACCTCCTAAACGAGGTCAAATTCTCAAGAGTCCTGCTAACGACCTCATTATTTAACTCAGGTGTGGAGAAGTAGAGATGCATCTAAAAGTTGCAGGAGACCGGCCCTCGAGGCCTGGAGTTGCCCACCCCTGATCTAAAACATGCAGGACATTGGGCCTTGAGGACCAGGATTGGGAACCACTGAATTACAGGCCTCTCATCTTTTTAAGTTGGAGAACTTGCACAATTGGTGACTGACTAAATACTTTTATCCCCACTGTATGTTAAAAGTAAATGTTTATTAATTAATGCAGAGGATTGGTGACAGCTGTGTATTTCATATTCTTGTTTCTGAAAGAAATACAATTGTATTTTCCTTTACTTTATATTTATGTTATCTGAGTAATATAAAAGGTAAAGGCAGCAATCAGTTTTAATTACTTACTTTGTAATTAAAACTGCATTGTTTGTAAATTGACTAAGAGCATTATTTTATATAAATATTGCAATTTAAAGAAGTATTAGTGTGACGTAAGACGCACTATGTATTTTATTTGGCGTTGCCATTTGATTGGTCACTGAGACAGTCCGTTCAGTGCGTGACTCGTGATTGGTTGAGAGGAGGCGGGAAGATGGAGAGGAGAGACGTTATGGTGGAGAACGGAGGGAAGACGAGCGGACAAGTGAAGAAACACGGACTGGAGGGAGAGAAAACCGGACAAAGGACGGAAAAGGACGAGATTTGGGGACGTTGGAGAAGCTTGGAGAGCGGTCGGTGGGAGAGGGACGAGACGAGAGGAGACAGACGCAGGTAATGACGATGGGCTTCGAGCTAAGCTAAGTTAGCTAGCCGCTTCAGCCCCACGTTTTCTGCTGCATTCAATGGCAGTCGGATTAGTCGGGAAGTCGGAGTTGTTATAGAGAACAGCATTTTTTATTTTATTTAAATTTTCTATTTTTATTAGAGCTGCTCCATTACATTTCATATTAAGATATTTTAATC